GTTTTGGAGCCTACCCAAACCCCCGATGCTAACTTTTTTTTATGTCCACCTCCCCTTTTTTGGGAAATGGCCCCCCTTTTGAACTTCACCCACTCCCCCTACGGGCTTGCATGTGCAATTTTTTTTCCTGTTTTAGTGGTAGGTTCTCTTTATCCCTTCCCCAAAGTTTTTGGTCTTAGCAGTAGCACCCCTCTACAAAAAAAGCCAAACCAAGGCTGATCTGTAGGCTTCGTCCTTTTTTTGCCGGTGGGGAAATTTTGTTCTTGTTGTAGTTTTAAGGATTTCCAGTGAAGGTTTTTCATTTGGGGGGTCAACACCCCCGGGGGAAAAAAGAAATTTCCATCGGTGGGGGGCGACCAGAGCAAAGGGCGGGTCAATTACCTCTTTCCCATAGCCAGGTTTGCGTGTGGACTCCTCCCCCTCGTTCGTTGGGATTTTAAGTGTGGTAAAAACAGCCTTGGGGGGTGGGACGACCCCAACGTAGCCGGGGTTGACAAGTGCTAGCCTCCTCCCAGATCACCACAAACTGGGTAAAGGGAGGACCAGAATATGAGAAAGGGAAATCAACAAAGTTTCTCATGTAAAAACACTGCAAAAAGGGTCTTCAAAGCCCCCCTCTGTAAAAAGGGTCTGGTTGGGGTTTCCACCAAAAATTTATAATATTTGACATTGTTTTTTGTAGCGAAGGGAGCAATATTTTTCCATTAGGAAGTTGATGGGGGCTGCATTTTTCCCCACTGAGGTCGGGTAAATTGCACAAAAGGGAAAAATTTTTTTTAAAAAAACAAATTTGGGGGGGGGAAAAACCAAAATTTTTTAAAAAAGAAACACCCCTTTCCCCCCCTTTTTTCCCCCCCCCGGGGTTTTTTTCCCCTTTTTTTTTTCCCTTTTTTTAAAAAAAACCCCCCCCAAAAAAAACCCCCCAAAAGGGGGGTTTCCAAATTTAAAAAATTTTTTCCCAAAAAAAAGTTGAAAAATTTTTGGGGGGGGGCTTGGGGGTTTGGGGAAAAATTTGGGGCCCCCCCTTTTTGGGGGTTGGGGGGGGCCCCCCCTTTTGGGGGGGTTTGGAAAGGGGGGGCCCCTTTTTTTTTTTTTTTCCCCCTTCCCCCCCTTTTTTTTTTTTTGGGGGGGGGAAAGGGGGGGGGGGGGAAAAAGGGGAAGGGGGGGGGGGGGGGGGGGGGGAGGGGGGGGGGGGGGGGGGAAGGGGGTTAAGGGGGGGGGGGGAAAAGGGGGGGGGGGGGGAAAAAAAAGGGGGGGGGGGGAATTTTTTTTTGGGGGGGGGGTTTTTTTTTTAAAAAAGGGGGGGGGGGGGGGTGGGGGGGGGGGGGGGGGGGGAAGGGGGGGGGGGGGGGGGGGTTTTGGGGGGGGGGGGGTTGGGGGGGGGTGGGGTGGTGGGGGGGGTGGGGGGGGGGGGGGGGGGGGGGGGGGAAAAGGGGGTGGGGGGGAAAAAAAGGGGGGGGGGGGGGGTGGGGGGAAAAAAAGGGGGGGGGGGGGGGGGGGGGAAAGGGGGGAAAAAGGGGGAAAAAAAGGGGAAAAAAAAAAGGGGGGGGAGAAGGGGGAGGGAGAAAATAAAAAAACCAAAAACCCCTTTTAAAAAAAAAAAAAAGGGGGGGAAAAGGGAAAGGGGGGGGGGAAAAGGGGGGGGGGGGAAAAAAAAAAAAGGGGGTTTTGGGGGGGGGGGGAATTTTGGGGGGGGGGGGGGGGGAAAAAAAAGGGGGGGGGGGGGGGGGGGGGGGGGGGGGGGGGTTGGGGGGGGGGGGGGGGGGGGGGGGGGGGGGGGGGGGGGGGGGGGGGGGGGGCGGGGGGAAGGGGGGGGGGGGGGGGGGGGGGGGGGGCCCCCCCCCCCCGGGGGGGGCTGGGTTTTTTAAAACCCCAAAAGGGGGGTTTGGGGGGTTTTTTTTTTTTGGGGGGGGGGGGGGAGGGGGGGGGGGACCCCGGGGGGAAAAAAAACCCCGGGGGGGGGGTTTTTTTTTTTTGGTTTTTTAAGGGGGGGGGCCCCTTGGGGGGAAAAAAAATTTTGGGGGGGGGGGGGGGGGAAAAAAGGGGGGAAAAGGGGGGCCCCCCCCCCCTTTTTTTTGGGGGAAACCCAAAAAAAAAAAAATTATTGGGAAATTTTTAAAAAAAACCCCAAAAAAAGAAAAAAAAACCCAAAAATTTTCTTGGGGGTTTGGGGGGGGGGGGTTTTTTAAAAAAAACCGAGAGGGAGAGAAGGGAGGGGGGGAAGGGGAGAGGAGCCTCAACACCACGAGAGCTATATCATTTGGGGAAATAGATGGCAATAACATTTCACCTGAGAAAACGCAAAGATGATCGTCTCTGGGCACCATGATGGTAATGCTTGCATTAAGGATGAATGGGGATTTGGGCACCGGAGAAGAATTTGAACCCTTTGGGGGAAAATTTTTGACTCCAAACAACCATAAAGAACCATGTTGTTATTTTAAAACAAGGCAGCCAGAAGCTTACAGCACTTCGCCGTACTCGCATCTGCTTGCAGTGG